TAACGTCGCGTATTACTCACACTTTCGGCCGTTCCACATGTGTACACAATACTATACATTATTATATTAGGTATAATCATTGTGCATCGTCAGTTTCCGCTCGCAAACTGTACTACACGCTTATCGCATCATACCATAATAATATAATTTACAAATCACGTGATAAATGCCTATTTAAGTACACCAATAAGTCTATCATTTCGCACGAGACTCCGAGACGTTTTATATATGTTACCTACACGCGGCTACACGAACAATTTCATTGTCGCCGCGCCCGCGTCCGATGGTATTATTTACACCGACGCCCGTCCGGGGTAGTTACATAAGCGAATTTCTGTATAACGTGACGCGTTTCCATTCTTTCGTGGTACCTATATAATATAATATACCTGTACAAGTCATCCGGGTCGATGACCTTATCCCGGTGTTTTTTTTTTTTTTGTTTTTCATCTTCCGTGGACCGATCCCGTGTGCCTGTCGCGGAATGTGTGTTTTCCGATCTAGGTCAAGGCTCCGATTCCCGAGGCGATATCAATTGAGACAGAGACAGAGCAAAAAACAGGGGTCCCATTATTGCAGTGATGTGCTACGATCGCTGACTTATTCCGGACACGAGTCGTCGCCGCGTGCACGTAATATATATTATGTACATATAGATATATGTCGCTATATAACGTGGGCCACGTGTATAGTGCAGTATGTCTTGTATTCATTTTCCGACGGGGTGAACGTTTTCAATAATTAACTGTGAAAAAATACGACAATTTTTATTTCATCTTTGCTCGCTATATTCTTCAGGTTTGCTGTATAACTGTATAAGACTTACGATAATGTGTATACAACTGCAGAGTTCTAAATAGCGGGCAAGAGGATCGATTCCTCTCACCCTCCTACCGTTTAGACGATGCGACGGCAATTATACTACGACTGCGTGCACTGATTGGTGGAAAATAATATTTTATCAAAGTATATAGGTAATATAATACTATATATTATGTACCTATACATATCTATAAGATTACGGTGGTTAATTATACATGACTATTATATGATAATAACAAGTATATCCGCTGGTTATTTATTTTCTATTCGGGTTTTAATCGTCTGCAAACTGTCCAAGGTCTCTTTCCCGTACTCGAGCCTCTCGAAGAAAATTGCATGGTAAAACTAACACGCAACTCCTTTAATCGCTCATCTACCGATTGCACATCACTGGTCACATAATCGTTTAATCAATTTTAAATCTGCATTAGTTGTAAGCTATATAAGCACCTGTATATAATATATACACAGATATAGAAATTAGACACACTTATATATTATATTTGTACACGAACATCCACGTGTCAAAATTGTGTTTCTGCGAAACGGCGTAATTTGTATTGCCATTAAATGTACGAATGAGGTATTCGAGGTCGTAAGTGAATTTTGCGACCGTCTTAAACTTTTATTGCACATGTGCTGCATTTGCCAAAGAAGAAAACAGAAAGCTTCCATGTGCATTTATCATCCGTATCTTTGCGTATATTATATTGTAATGTGATTTTTTTTTTTCTTGGATCCAGCACAAGTTTTTTTTCTCACATAGCCATTATTCATTATATTACAGCACAAAATAAACACGCAATCAATTATCGTCTTACACAGTTTGTCTTGTTATTAAATACATTTTGTTTCGTAGAAAAATAAATGTAAGTATCTAGTATTTATACACTATTACGAGTCGTGTAAATCCAATAATACACGCGTGTAATAAACGCAATTTATTCGGATGGAAAAAAACAGCTTTGACAGAAACAGCAATACAGGCGCAAGTCAAAATTAATTTAAAAAGTATATTATTAACGTATAAGGAGAGCACATACGATTTATATATATTTATAATACATTTATTTATAAAACTATAACGTATAATATGTATATCTTCGTCGTTTTTTAAATATTATTACGATATTATTAATACTACTTCATCGTATCTCGTTCGAGTATCTACGTAAAACTGTGTAATATTATATTTAATCTCTTAACGCGAAAATAACGCCTATTATATAATGTACGTTATGCATTCGTGTGTAGGTAAAAATGTAATTAGTTTCGTGTGTATACTAATAGGTACATTTACTGCTACTCTATGTGAGCTTGGCGAATAAATCGACTAACAACGATTATAGATAAAACGATTAAATTTCGATATTACGTATTGCGTATTTATACTAAGTGGAGCGATAGGTATGAATTTGTATTTTGTTTTTAACTGCGATAAACATTGTCAACATTTCACACCGTAAATTCCAATTCTATGCCATCGCAGCCAAGTCAATAGAAGAACAGACGGAAAAGGGTTTAACGAGCGGTCGTCGTGTCGACGGCGGATTCGATAAGAGCAAAAAAATTTTTTATGATAAGTCGGGCGTTTGCGCGATAACATATAAATAAACATTAAAACATAATAGTGTAATAAAACAGAATTCTCATTTCACAAAGCTGCATAATATATTATGTGTTATAATGGTATTTGGAACGATTGGTCATCGTCAACGATGACAGAAAGCGCATACGAATAAAATATAATGTACAACAGGCGGGAATCGTCGGGGAGTTATGTCAATCGGTCTGTATACGTATATATTATTATATAAACACCGTTTCGTGCATCGTAAGTAGAATTCGTTTTGCGACCTCGATCCAAATACTGTGTAATCGTACTGCCCAAGTGTATATACGCGAAAGCAATAATGAAAATACAAAAACAAAAAAAAAAAAAAAAAAATCCGAAAACGTCGCGGTCATTATAATATTTTAATCGTACTATACGTACGTATATATAGGTGGAACCTATAGAAAGCCTCGACTCACGCGATGTGTACGGTATATGCTATTACGTACCTATAGGTTTTATTGCGGCGCTGCGTCGATGCACTTGTACCACGTACCTACCCGCTATATAATATTGTGTGTAATGTGTATCTAAAAAAATGGTATGTGTGTGTGCCGATGACGCTTCCTCCGCCGCTCTGCCGCGAGGTGACATTGGCGTAAGAACGTAATAGATTATTATTTATTATTCCCTCTGCCGAAAATACCGTACGCCTACACCCGCCTGTGATGTAGGCACACTATGATTTTAGGCAGGTATACCTACACCAAACGCATAAAATGTGCACCGTTATCATTGTCATATTATTATTATTACGGGCAATACGGTCCGGCGATTTGGTATATATATATATATATATAACTGCGGTATACTTGACGTTAGGTATGCGCAAATATAAACTTGTGCGGTACCTATATAATTGTATCGGTGACAAAATTTTAATAATATTTTATTATTATCGCCCTGCACCGTAATCCGTCGCGATGCCAAGTCGCCGCGGCGTATTATACAGTGTATAATATACTATCGCACCTCGGAATATATTATATAGGTAATATATATCTATATAGAAGATATATATATATACATATAATATTTTAAGGTATACTGTGCGTGCACTGCACCGCGAGACGACGACGACGACATTCGAATCGTTTGGTGTCTCTGTGCACGTATATATTATATACACATCATGAAATAATATTATATTATAATTAGGTATACCGTTATCAGCCCATATTATAACGCTGTATAAACATCACAATATCGTAGGTTTCGTGCGGTCTTGTAAATATTTATATTACAATATGAAGTCGCGCGCGCGTTTGCAGCATACCTATACACGTATACAAATATCGTGTGTATATAGGTATGTTGTGTGGTGTATGTGTGCGTAGAAGTTCCGCCGTCGTCGGGCGACAGCGTTTACGAGGAAAATTGCGCAACGAAAAAATTTTGGCAATGATAATGTAATATGTATATTCATAGAAATTTCGTTATTTGTCCGAGTTGTAGCTTTTTGCACCGCGTATTATACACAAATTATAATAATAATGCACGATTACTATCGCGTCCAGGGATGGCAAATCCGAGCGTCGTCGCGAAATATAAAACATATTTTATTTTTAATAATTTATAATGAGACCACGATGTGTAAATAGGTATTTTTTCATCATCATCGAGTCGCGCACAACTTAAAAACTCGCATCAACAATAAAATAAACACTGTAGTATCTATATTACTTGTATTCTTTTTTTTTTTATCTTATTTGTAAACCAATAAAATACAACTAAAACATTTTTTTCATGTGCGTGTGTGTATACTTATAAATAATATGTTTATAATTCAATGGCACGCAAGAAACGAAAAAAAAAAAAAAAAAAACAAAAATCGTGCAATTTTTGGCACGTCGCGTTAAAACGATTTTCCACCCCTGTTATGATATATTTACTCGTTGACGAGTAATATGTCATCACAGTGCCTTTATAACATAATATTGTGTGTCTGCGTGCGCGTAATATCAGTGCAGCAGTATATTTACGTTCTACTATGTATTATGTAATATTACAATATTTTGTTTGACGGCGGGCTTTATACGTTTACGCAGTGTGATCGCAGCTATTACAGGACGATATTAAAACAATTATTATTATATTATCGTACGGGGCCCCGCCAAATCGAAAGCGTTTCGAATTCGTAATAACAACAGTTTTTAAAACCGAACACAGTTCGGACTCACCCGATCGAAGACAGTGGTTGCCGTACAAAGTGAAAATCCGTTCTCGTCATAATCATGTAGGTACGCAGCATTCGCGCGAAACCCGATGATATGCTGTGTCATGCGAAGTTATCGCACCAATACCGTCGGCGACGGCGACGCCTTTGCACCCCCCGAAACTCATTCGAGGCCGTTAAAAATGTCCGTTTTCGTATAATAACTCTCTCGATCAGCTTGGTCCATCATACGCATTTCAACGTTGACGGTCGGCGGACGATCTCAAATCTCTGTTTTTTTTTTTTCACCCTTTTTACACGATATACATGGTCCGTTGAGACGCTGTTTGGTCGTACGCCAAAAATTGACTAACCATTAAACGTTTTGTTTTGTTTTTTTTTTTGCAGATGTCGAAATTCAGCGTGATGGGCTACGAACCCGCACTGGTACTTGTCGCCACGCTGATGGCTATAATGGCCGTGTCCGTGGTCGCCGTGCCGGCCGCTCACCACCTGCACCACCACTCGGGCGGCCACCACCGGATGATGTCGAACAACGGCGGGGCCGGGTCGTCGTCGCCGTCGTTGTCGGGCATCGATCACCCGCTCAGCAAGCGGTCGTTCTTCGACATCCAGTGCAAGGGCGTGTACGACAAGACGATATTCGCCCGGCTGGACAGGGTGTGCGAGGACTGTTACAACCTGTTCCGGGAACCGCAGCTCCACTCACTGTGCAGGTTCGCATCGCCCTCCCGCCGTTCTCCCCCCTCCCCCATAACTTCCTTCCCCTCCGCCCCTCCCCCCCCCCAACCCCCCCCCCCCCCCCCCCACACACACACACCGTTTGCACGCCCAACAATAACCGTATATGCGCAACAAGTCCGAGTCCGTTACGTCGTCTGCTCGTTTTTGTTTCTCATTCGCGTAACAAAATCGATACGATTTAAAAGACATTTCCCGATAACACGCTCGCTTCATTTAATACAATTACATGTGCTTGCACGATAATCATAATTAATATTGTTTCGAGACGAACGTTATATGAATGTTTACGAATCGTCTGTCCCCGCGCGATTGTACGCGTAAACGTTGGAATTTTTCTGCTAAAACGCGACGGTTGTAAAAAATATGTACTGCAGAGAAAACGATCGTCTTACCGGCCAAATATATTATACGGAATAAAATATCACCGCGTAATTCGCATTGAGGTAAATCGTGGACTGTATTATTAGAGATGCGCAGCAGAATTTCATTACGCGATATAGATATAGGCACGTAGGTAGGTACATGCCACACGCGAGAGTCGAGATACATACTTTACATCGACACTGCAGTTGTGTCCGGTCTAAAAAATGTATTTACATACCTATACTTGTGTAGCCGAAACTATCAGCTGCAGACATCGCATCTCTTGTATGCGTGCGCTCGCGGTCGTATGCCCTTATTTTTTAGATTCAAATCACTTCCGGTCGACGGTATATACGCTCGAAAAACTATGGCTGTCAGTTCGGCAGACGTCGCGAACCGTACATTTTGTCACGCGAAACTGCAGTACACATTATGTGCTAACACAAACCAGTTAATACATCGCGTGATTCCGTATCGTTTAATACAATAATAATAACAAATCGTCACGATTTCGGCGGCGAGACAGCTGTTGGTCTCGCACTATCGACGAGCATCTGTTCGAAAAAGCGCAATTCGAGATGATGTAATATGCGAATTGCAATCCGCCCGCGTGCCATAGTAGTCGTCGTATACGTATAATATACGACGTATATATTTATTATTTGGTCCACTACAGTTACTTCGATCTTCGCGGTCGTATAACTTCTATTGCGGTTCGTCCGTCCGTTGGTGTTTTCTCATTTTTCCCGATGAATTTATTTCCATAAAGTACGTCGTCCTCCGCTGTAGGTCACTGAGCAGTGATTTTTGTTTTTTTTTAACCCACGCGAATATTATCTCTTCGTCTCCCCCCCTCCCCAACCAAACAAAAAAAACCATCCACTCACCTTCGACGCAGTTAGGTAAAAAAATGCCTAACAAACAGTTGGTTTTGCAGGAAAAATTGCTTCACGACAGATTTTTTCAAAGGATGTCTGGACGTGCTTCTGCTTGAGGACGAAGTGGAAAAGATACAGAAGTGGATTAAACAGTTGCACGGGGCTGATCCTGTCGGGGTTGGGGCTTAGGTATTTTTTTTCTTTTGTTTATTAATGTTATTATTTATTATTTTTACGCTCGACCGATTCTATCCTTTTCCTCATCCTCATCTTTACGGGTACTTAAGTGTAATATACTATTAGGAGCCCGGATGTTGCTGTGCTTAATATAAAGCCTAAATACTTGGATAGTTTATTTATATAATTAAATCCAATTTTTGTCATTACTCATCAATATATATTTATTTTTTTCAAGTAAAACGTTTTATAATATTAAAAACGGATAAACTAAATTATAATCTACACTAATGTTTAAAATAAATAATATTTACCTTTTAAATTTTATAAAACTTTTTATGGCATAAATTTAAAACATTTCAACAAGTTGAGCTCCCATATCAAAATATAGGAAAATGTATAGGTACATTTAAAATTTCTTAAATTGTAAGTTATTATTGCGTTAAGACGATCTTGCTTGTTTTTGCCTATAACAATAAATCAAGATTAAATTTTTTTTTAAACAACATCTGAGTCCTGTGGTAATGATTAATGCGGTTATTAAAATATAAGACGTGTTTTCGATTACTTAAATAGGTCGGTTTACAATTAAATGGTTATCGTTTCTATAGTTTTTGTTTAATATTTCACAATCGAAATGGACTAATAGAAAAAACCAACGACGTGTGGAAATGCGTGAAACGTTGAACTTTGACGTTTAGAACATCAACAAAACAATTTTATAAATATATATATATTTATATCACATTTGAAAATATATGTAATATGTATAGCTAGCTAAATTGTCAGTCGGTAATCTTTATGTTCTATGGAGATTTCATAGCTAGCGTTTATTGTTATCGTGAATATTCAATGCACAGAAATTATTGACAAATATATATTATATAATAAGAACATAAAATAAACACAGAAGAGGCCATGAAACGCTTATTTACTTAAAATAATTGTCAGTAGGATTTTTATTATTATTTCGAAGGGGTGACAGAGAATAGATTGCATGACATAATCCGTCTTAACTTTTCTTTATCTCATATTGTTTGCATAAGTGATACAGTTTGTTTTTTTACATCTCTCCTTTGTTTTATTAAACATGAAATAATTGCTCTGTTTTTACCACTTTTGTATTTTGTACCCTTAACACTATTATTGATAATTAACTAACATTAATCATACATTATTATTATATTAACAAATAGGAACTTAATGGTAATTTATTAATTTATTTATAATTTTTTTTTTTTACAGATCTACGTGCTTTAACACGGTATACTTTAAGGCTTGTTTGGAGTCCCTTCAAATGTTAACAGAGGAGACTCAATACAACCAGATGGTCGAGTTTTTGGGGAAGAAATAAAATATATAACAATAAATTATGGTATATGTACTCCCCTACATATATTTTATTTATTTTTGGTTATTTATTTATAAACCAGACATTGGCCGTCAAAAAAACCTATTCTAGTCTATTCAGAGAAAGCAACAGCATTACATACAAAATAATATTGAAGAAATATGTTTACTTTCCCTAGATGAATTTTTCTAATTTATTTAATAGATATAAGATTTTGTTTTTAATTTTTGTTTATAAAACTTATTTAATTGTTTGTTTTTAATTTCTAAGAGTTGTATTATATATTATATTATTATATATAAAAGAAAACAAATTTTAATAACTTTTAATAAGAAATGTGTAATATTTTTTATTTTATATAAAAAGAAAAAACTGTATTTTTTTTTGTATTTATTTAATTTAAAAATGAAATATAAGATGACAACTCTGATGAATTTATGACACATAGCCTTGTTTCACTAACAAAATATTTTTAGCCTTTCGCTTTGAGATAAATAAAAAAAATATTTAGACTCTTTAAGCAGTTGTTTTGGTATTTATAAAATATAAGTAAAAAAAACTGGTTTTAAAGTTCCCATTCCTATATAACTATGATTTTATTGCAACAAAATCATATTTCATATTTTTAACATAAAAAAAAAAAAAAAAAAAATACAAATTTAATGTATAGTTGGATTTTATATTACACTGTGGCGGCAAAAAAAAATTCATAACTGTCTAAATAGCTTCTAAATATAATATTGGAAATTATTGTGCTGGTAAGTTAAGAAGAATGTTTTGACCTGGGGGAAGATATGACACTTGTCTAGATCTTGATAGTTGATAAGCTATATCTTCTGCAGCTTCAATTCTTCTTAACTCGACTAAACCTTCACCTGCATCTCCAAATGATTTTGCTAACATAGATGCAGCTTCAGAATCTCCTTGGGCAGAAATAATAGAAGCCTGTTTCTGTTGCTCTGCTTTTTCTACCAAATATCTTGCTCTTTCTGCATCTTGTTGAGCTACTTGTTTCAACTCTACAGCTTGAGTGAACTCCTTACCGAAGGTTAAATGGGTAATTGAAATATCATCTAACACAACACCAAATTGTCCGGCACGTTCAATAAGAGTTTCGCTAACCTAATATTAAAAAAAATTATTTAATTTATAAACAACAATATTAATTCAAGAATTATTTTTATTTACTTTACGAGAAACATTTTCTCTTTGGGTGATAAGTTCACCAGCATCAAACTGTGCCACTACAGCCTTTAAGACTTCAGTGGTGATTGAGGGTAAGACACGTTCATCATAATCTACACCTAAAATAGTGTATATTTTTGGCAATTGTTCTGGAAGAGGTCTGAACAATATTCTGAGGGTGATATTAACATTTTGCAAATCTTTGCTACCAGTGATGACTGGAACATTCCTGGGACGTGAGCGAACATCAAAAATGATTGGCTTCTGTACCCAGGGAATCAAAAAATGTGTTCCTTCTCCAACTACGGTGTTCTTTATTCCTGTAAACCTGTCAAATATGACAGCTCGATGACCACCATCAACATTATATAATGCTGTATTAGCTACACTCCCAGCTAATGCTAGGCCAAGACCTAATTGACCAATTCGATTGAACAATTGTGCGGCCATACTCTTCAAATCTATTAAAATATAAAATGAATTAAAATCATAAGAACCAAAGTATAATACTATAAATTGAACAAAACATGGTTTTTAATCAATAATACAGTAGGTATAAGATATAATAAGAATTAGTTATATCTAATTTGGGCTTTAATACTTTTTTGCGGCTCAATTTTGTATAAACATACCCCAGTGCTGGTCAAATTACGAATTTTTTTTTATGATCCCTATTAGGAAAATAGAAAATTTGAGAAATGGATTGCACACATGTCATATACAGTAATATACACGAACAACGCTGACAAAAAAAGATTAAAATGCAACGCTGGAAAAATTAAAAATAGTTGAAAATAAGTGTAAAAATGAAACCTTAAGGAATCACCCACACACGAGAACAGTTGAAATGACGCATCAAGGCATGATCCCAAAAGCAAACACGTTAAAATAAAACTATAATATTTTTCCTACATGTATAAATTAATGTTAACCATGATTTTAAAATGTTTTTATCCACCATTTATAACTGGATGAAAAATGTGATTATTTTTAATTTTAAAATCATAAATGGTGATTACTGACTAAAATAAAATAATGATATACCTAATCCTATGGTAGTAATGTACAAGGAGTTAAATAGAAGAATAAAAATTATTATACAATATGGTAAGATTTATACAACTTATGTTTTAGTAACACTAACATATAATTTAATTTTTATAAAACCTTATAAGCTATACTTATAATTGATAAGATTAATATTCCAACAAAAGTAGTTAATAGCATTTTCTGTTTGTAGTTTTGGATAGTTGTTTCCAAGTATTTAGTTAGTTTTTGTAAATACAATTTACTCAATTGACATGAATTTTTCAATAAAATACAAAAAAACATAGACATTCACGAATACATTGTATCTGAACACAGACCTACAAAGTACATAGTTATTTAATTCCCCTATAGCTTTTTACTCTTATCTAAATATTATATTACCATAATGCACAATGTACATAATTTATAAAAAAATATTTAAGTAAATATAACCAAGACTTATTGAGTTATTCATTAGTCCATACATTGCAACCGATAGGTAATCGGAAAGCTTCAATATGACATGAATTAATTACGATTTAATTTACTGTGTATGAATTATTGGAATATTTATGCTTAGATTATACTTACGAATTTCGCCAACTCCACAAATAGGTTTTAGAAAAAGAAAGAATTTTAATCTTCACTTTGGTTAGGTAAATATTTAATTGGACAGTCTGTACTCTGTAGTAGAAGTAAATTTAATCATCAATCATAAAAATCGGCAAATTATTTTTCATTTTACACGATTCATTCTTAGGTTAGGTTTTGGTAAAAGTTACTAACATCATTCTTATATGAAAATGAAATATGATTTCACATTAAAATGAAAATATCTATAAACATAATATTATATTAATTAATTTTATATAAAATAATTAAATAATTTCATACTAATTTTCTGATAAATTTTTAAAGTTAAATTTATGTTAATTAATTAATTTTCAAAATAAAAATTGTAGATTAATATGTTGATAAGAAAGAACGTGATAGAGCGTGGATACTGTTTACAAAATAATTGTTCGAGTCTTAGTGATAAGAAATCAAAATACGAAATTTTAAACCTAGATTTGGTGAATTTAAAAGTTTTTGGAGTACTATTACTAATACAGTTATACAGTTACACTAATACCTACAGTAAGTTAGTATTTATTAACTTTTCGCAATATGCTTTCTCAAGGAATTATTATTTTTATTAATGTGCTTAATTATTATATTGTATTCAACACAATTAACTACTGTTTATTAATAAATTCGGATTTGTTGTAGATAAGTACCCATCTATTTTAAATAAAATACATTATTAAACGTCTAATATGATCTAAATTCCACGATATATATCTAAAATGACTTCAAGATAAATAACTTAAATTAAACAATAATTTCTATTGAATAATAAAATTGATTCATTACAATAATTTAAACATATACTTTAACACAGATAAAATATTTGTAGATTTATGAGAAGTGCAATGTATAATAATCATTAATTTTATAAAACTAACCCATTCAATTTGTAATCAATTTTTATTATAATATATTTTTTTTGTGGATGTTCATAAAATGTTGTTAAGTAGGTATAATATGACTAACGTATAAATTATTTCATTTGAATTTCAGATTGTATTTAAAATGACTGATAAATCTCATGGTTTAAATGTTAATTATGTTCAATCTGAACTGCAAAAAAATGAAATAAACGATGATGAGGATGAAGATGATTATATTGGACCACCCATACCTAGTGAATTACAAGCAATAGAAAAAAGTACAGAAAATATTTCTGCGGATGAACATGTCAAAAAAACTGAAGACATTGAAAAGATTACTCGTTCAAAAGACAATAGCAATGATGACAATGAAAGCAGTGATGACGATGATGATGATGATGACGATGATGATGATTCAAAACAAATCAAAATTCCTATTGAAAGTCAAGTGTCTTTAAATCATGGTATTAAAGCAGTCACTGCACTTTGTATAGATCCTCCAGGAGTCAGATTGGCTAGTGGATCTGTTGACTATGAAGTGAGACTTTGGGATTTTGCTGGTATGGATCAAACACTACAAAGTTTCCGTACTCTAACTCCTTGTGGCAATCATCCAATTAAGTTTTTAAAATACTCACCTACTGGAGATCGTCTTTTAGTAATTTCTGGTATGTCTCAAGCAAAAGTATTAGACAGAGATGGTCATGAATTATGGGAATGTGTTAAAGGCGATCAATACATTTCAGACATGGTAATTTGTTTATAATAATATTATGTACTCATTAAATAAACTATATATGTGATAAATTTTTGTTTAGTATGCTACTCACAATTCAATTTTATATCTAAATTTTACAGGCTACAAACATATTTAATATTAGCCAAACTAATAATTAATTATGACTAGTTATAATGTTTTGACATTTTGGTCTTTTAACTTACTGCAGTACTACCTGTGTTTTGAAGTTTAGAACAATTTATAAATAAATATAATATCGTAATTTTTAATTTTCCTGCCAAATAGTTGTAACTATTTATTCTAAGATCTATAAATATAATCATTATGCAAGATGACAAAATGAAGATTTGAAATTACATCTAAGGGAGTAACAAGTTTATTTCAACAACAGATTAAGGAAGAATGATAGCAGACAATAAATTTAAATAATGTGTTTAAAAGGTTCTTTGGTGTCATGTTAAGCTGACAAATATTATTTTAATAACAATAATAACATTGATTTTTAGATGAAATAATAATTAAAAAATGCTTACTGAAAATAATTTAAAAGCTAAGATAAGACATTTTTATTAGGTAATAAATTAAACTTTGGAGGTAGCATACTTGAAAATTTTTATTTACGTTGTAGGTATCATATTTAATGAGTACCAATTATAAATAACAATTCATGGTATTAATAATAGGTGTATAATATATAGTATGATAATATTAAATAATTATTTTCATTAGGTACGTACCAAAGGTCATACATCTCCATTGACTTGTGGTACATGGCATCCGAGAAACAAAGAAGAATTTTTAACCAGTTCAGAAGACGGATCTTGTCGTATTTGGGATATGACCAAAAAAGATAAACATAAAAGCATAATTAAATGTAGAGCCAAAAATGGCTTGAGAACAATACCGACTACTTGCAATTATAGCAATGATGGCAAATTAGTTGCCTGCGCGTGTAGGGATGGATCAGTTCTTGTTTGGGACACCAGAAAACCCAGTTTTGTGAACGCCACGTTTACAGTACGAGATGCTCATTTAAATAATTCTGATACTTCTTCTATAGTATTTTCTTATAGAGACACATTAATATGTACACGTGGTGAAGGCATTGATGAAACAATGAAACTCTGGGACATAAGAGCCTTTAAGAAACCTTTACATGTAGTCGATGGGCTCTATTCTAGGTATGTGAATTATATGATTGTTTTAGTACTCTATTTAAATTTATAAAGCAATAATTATTTTAATTAATAATTAAATATTATTTTATGTTTAAATTTATAGGTATTCTACAACAGATTGCTGTTTTAGTCCAGATGATTCAATAGTAGTGACTGGTCACTCGGTACGTCCCAAAGAACAAGGAGGACATTTAATGTTTTACAATACAAATACGTTTGAACTTCTTGAAAAAGTTAAAGTTTCTGAAACACATTCCATAAAGGTGTACTGGCATCCTAAGCTTAAACAGTTATTTGCAGGCTGTGGTGATGGAACTGTGAAAGTGTTCTATGACAAAGTAAACAGCCAAAGAGGTGCAATGCTATGTGCTTCAAAAGTCCATACTAAAACCAAACAAATGGAAATGGTACCAACACAGCAAATCATTACACCCCACGCTTTACCAATGTTCAGACAAGATAGAAATAAATCATTGAAGAAACGTATTGAAAAAGATAGATTGGATCCAATGAAATCAAAGAGGCCAGACTTGCCAATCAAGTCTGGTCAAGGTGGTCGTGTTGCTGCATCAGGTAGCACCCTTAGCTCATATGTCATTCGCAATTTAGGATTAAGCAAACGAGTAGAAGATGATCAAGATCCACGTGAGGCAATTTTGAAGTATGCTCAAGATGCAGCTGATAATCCATATTGGATTACCCCTGCATATGCTAAAACACAGCCTAAAGCTGTTTTAAAAGAATCAGAAGACGAACCACAAGAAAAGAAAATTAAATTTGCAATTGGACAACCCAAACAGTAACTGAAAAATGACTGCTGACAACATGCTCTTTCTAAAAAATACAATAGTTTTATTATTTTTAATACTACAATAACATTTTAGTAATTGCTTTTTTGTGAATTTTATTCAGTCTAAGAATAATAACAATACAGTAATGTAATCAATGAAACATCTTAAATTCTTAAGATAGTTTATTAAGTTAGAATTATGTAAATATGTGTAATTGTGAATAGTTATAAGTTTTTCTAGTTAGCAACTAATCACCTACTTGTAAAAAACAGTAATTATCATTATACTTAATTTATAATCATAATTTGTAAAAAAAAGTTAATACTAAATTCTTCTTGATTGTCGTCTGAATGAGCAATGCTGATGTCCTCCAGTCGCATAATGTTGAGATGTTCTACTGGAAACCGAGTCCCCAGTAACGACTAATTGTACTGATTCAGTTAAGCCTCTGTTCTGAATTCTTGTGTCCCATTCTTGACTTAAGCGCCTGTTTTAAATAAATACCTATCATTAACATTGATAAACTCGTGATTAAAATTTAATCAATCTTACCTTCGAGCTTTGTGGATTAGTAGTTGAGTGTCAATTGTCTCAATGTATTTGCTCTCTGCTGACAATGCAGACTCGGTTCGTGAAACGTCGGCAGAAAACATGTCCCTAGGCTAAACAAGAATTATTAAATTTATAAAGAAAAAAATGTTTGTCTCATGGTTTACCGTTGATTGCGTTCTTTTAATATTTCTATAAGGTTTACGCATGTAGTTTGTCTTCCTTTGTAGAGCTAATCTCCTTGTTTCAAGTTTTTTTTCGTCTAAACATTTTTATATACTCAACAAAAACATGATACTCTTTTACATTAATTGAAATTACCATTCAGGTCAAAGTGTTCGGCTGTTTTGATACCTGCCTTATCCGGTAGTAATGAAACCTTCATGTGCATGTTGTTTGGACCATCCACACTGACACACCAACCATTTGAGTTTGCTGTATAAATCAACCATGATTAATTAGTTTGCAAAGAAATGAGAATAATTATTTAAATACTAATAAAAAAAAATAAAGTAATAAAGAGAATATTGGTTGATATTGTTATGACTATTGAATGCATATTAATATTTTATATCCTTAAACACTTATTACTTACTATCTACGTATTAACATATTATTGTAAATTGTAGTAAGTACATACCTACTCAGTACTCATATAATTACAACGAATAATTTGTAATAAATAAAGTTAATTAAATAAAACATAAAATATTTCATGTTTATACTGATAATTATATTATTAATAATGCCAATGTACAATGTGCTGTATAGGTATAACTGTGTAAGAAGTTATTGCCATATTAGGAATGGAAATGGCTGAATATTTGAAATCTAAAAAGGGTTTCATAACAAATTATAAGGGCACAGATTTCAAAATTAATTTTTATACTCAGCTAAATTATAAAAATATAATAGTATAGAATGTATGACTGTATTAGTCAATAATATAATTCAAAATTAATTTGATTAAAGAAAAAATAATTTCATGCATTTGAATGTTATAATAAAAACCTTAATTCTTTAACCATCTCATGTGGATACAAGATAGATCATAATTAGTTTCACAATACACTACAAATGGTTTATATATTGATTAGTTAGGTCCATTTATTTAAACTAGATAATGAAACTTTTAAATAACTTTGGATACCTACATTTCCCATAGATGCAAATATTTTTACACATTATTAATAACTAGCTAAATGAAAAAAACAATGAACAAATTTAATAGAAATAAGTAACATCGATTTTCAATACGATCAAATGATTGATTCCATCTACTTATTCTTAAAAAAAGTCGATACAAAAGCCGGCAAATGCAAATGTATTTTTATTGCATTGCTCAATTTTTTAAGGGTAGGAATTGGGTCAATAGAAGATTGGAGTGAAAATCCGTAAAGTTTATTTGGAAGGAAAGAAAAACAATTTGAAATATAACTGCGATATCATTTTTTTTTTAAGTAAAAAAAAATATGTAGATAACAACTGGAGTACCTACTGAACATATTGACATATTGTTGTCATCCGTATCGCGAATTTCTCTAAAAATAGTATAGCAATTTCTGTAGGACCACATGGCATAATTACTCGTACAAATTTAAATATTTTTATTTTCACTATAATTAGTGGTGTCATACACGATTTTTCGCAAGTTTAAATAATAATAATGGTATACTCGTAGGTACGAATGGTGTACAGTAAATATACCTATGAACTATTTTACCTATATGTACCATGTACAAATAATAATTTTAAAATTTTAACGTTACCTAAATGCGCTGGACACTGTTGATTATTATTGGACTCTGTCTGCACAAGTTTTGGTAAATGTTTGGCTGTAGTACTAGACGTCTTTGGCAACTGCAGAGTATTATTGCGGTTAGGAACGTGCACTACAGGCAATGTCACCGCAGATTCGCCAGGTTCGGGGATGGCTTGCACGTGTACAGTGTATTGTTGGTTGTCGTCTTCAGTTTTGAGATCATCGTCGTTATCGTTCAATTCTACTACATAATAGAAAACAGAAGTTGTGTTTTGCGTAGGTTAGGTTTTTAATTTTAATTCGTGTATATATTATTATGTTATATAGGCATGTAGGTACACCTCCAAATATAAATTATCGTTGAATAATAATTATATCTGCTTAGAATCAGTTGTTTTAAATCGTATAATACACCAACAACCCGAGATTTGTTGGGAAAACTTATACGATAGGGGTTTAAACTCGTTTTTATAATAAAAACCCGTGATTATATTTGAGTTGTTTCAATTTTAATACCATTTTTGATAACAGACAACTGTATTGTCTTTATAATATTATGGTCTATAAGTGCGACTGACTGTTTTTGATATTAACGGATTTATTACGTTCACTATAGTTTCATTAATAAAAAAAAAACAGCCGAGTTCGAATAATTACCTTGTGCTTCTACGTCCGCACTGTCATCTTTGAGCGTGTAAAAGTTGATCCAACCTTTGGACAGCGTGAGCAGTTGATCGTTTTTGGCGCCTTCTAATGCTTCCTTTCCTTTGCAGTACTTGTTCTGCCTAACCACACCCACCATCAGAGCGTTGTCAGCAGAAAATTTTTTCATTGCGGTCATATGGTTTTTGCCTTTTTTACCGGAAGCCGTCGCACTGATTTCTGGCGTTTCCCGTCCCGCAGCCACGTCCCTAGTCGTCTGCGTGTGCCGGTTCGCCGGTGGCTGTTCAGTCTGGTTGCCCTCGGACACCATTTTCCGACCGCCAACCACCCTGATCTGATTCTCAGACACGTGGCTGCGCCCTAGTCCGGCCAGCAGTGTTTGCAACGCCCTACGATCATCCGCGTTGGCCGTGGAGCCCCGTTGTACCTGCACTCCCTTTTCGACGGTCCACAGAGTCTGACATCCTTTGTGCCTGGTGCGAACCCGAACCGTCCCAGTTGACTTCCGGACCGTCGTTGACATGTGCAGGTGTTTCTTGAGCTGACTGTGTCGCCGATTAAGTCGGCTCTCTAGCGTACCGGGCATCTTCAGAGTGAACGTGACCGCCGACTTTTGACCGTCGAGCGCTAAGAAATACGATACAGCCGTTCCTTCGAACTTGCATCCGTCCTCCAAGCTATCGGTGAGACTCTCGTCGTCGTCATCATCATCGTCGTCGTCAGTGACGTCTGCGAGACATTTTCTCTCACCATGGCCGTAGGCGCCTTTATAGTCTAGGTGTGAATAGTAAGGAAGTTGCGCTGCAGGGTTAGGACGGGAGCCGTGGTCTGCAAAAACTGTGCAATCCTCTTCCCTGGGGCTGTGCCCGCAAGTCTCAGGCACGTGCTCGCTGCGATAATAATCGTACCGGCATTCGGGTTTCGACGAGAAGTTGACTTTTTTCGAATTATTGTCATAATATCCGCCATACTCGGCGCGTTCTCCGTATTTTTGCGAAGATTTCTTGCTGCGGTTGAACGTGTCGCCGAACACAAATCCACCTACGTAGTTGGACTCCTGTTGCTTTGAAGTTTCCGTCGCCTCGTCCACAGATTCCAACCTCCGTTTCGAAACTGGATTCCGATTCTTCCCAGTGTCGTAGGAGTAACCGCCATTGCGGTCATTACTGGCGTCGTAGACTTCGGGCTGCGCCGTTGCGGTTTTTTTCGCGTCTTCATTGGCGCATACCCGACAATCATTCGTCATCGCGTCCTGCTCACAAACAGCACGCCTACAGTCGTCCTGAAATCTGTTGGAAATCCGCTTCCCGAACGGTTCGTAGTGTTGGTTATCGTTCATCGTGTTCCTAGAAGGCACGGCCATCGTTTCCGTCGCGTTGTTCATCGTAGATCCGCGATTGATTGCGTTCGAGTGCTGTGCAGGTGTCGCGTTCGATGATGGCCCATGTAGAAGACGATGAGCGGGGTTGAAAGAATCCTTATCGTCATCCCGTTTACGGCTCATGTTGTCGTTGAGTCTGCTGGGCATGTTGCGCTTTTTAGCATCGAATTTTTGTTCGTTCGATTGTCCGATCTGTCCGCTTTCACGATAACCAGTGCGATTTACGTCAACTGCACGTCTTCCGGACGACTCGGATGTTGGATTAGAGCGCTGCATTTCGTTTCGACGCCTTAACTCCATGACTTCTGCCACTGCTGTATCCTTGTCCGATTGCAGACGTCGATCCGACGGAACGGCGAGATGGTTGTTCGCAATTGATAGTTGTTGAGCAGTGGGTTCAGCGGTCGTAGTACTGTGCTCAGCAATAGGCTTGGCGACGTTTGCGTGCGTATTATCGTTTTCAATTGGTCCCAAATCGTTTAGTCGTTCCGCCAGCACCGATTCCGTGTCGTCGGATTTCGGCGACTGATTCGAAAAGGTACGGCCGGATTCTATTATTTGATGGTTTTGTGTCAACCGCTCATAATTTCGCTCGTCGGATTGTAATGGCATGTCGTCGTCGTCGTCATTGTCGTCATCGTCGTCATCCGTGCGTGCGGGCAATTCGAGTTCCGCACCCACTACCCCCTCACCGGTTTCACCCAAAGTATCAATAGTTTTATTGACTGTCGTCGGTGGTGCAACTTTTTCGAACGCGTTGCCGCCGCCGTCCCCTTTTCCCAAAACGTAAAAGCCTTCGGTCTTCTGCACCGCGTCGTGTTCTTCGTGTTCGCCGTTTTCCTGCAGCTTTTCAGCGTCCGCCGCGTTTCTGGATGTCGGCCAGCAGTAGCGAACCGACGAATACGACGATGGAGACGAAGTCGACGACGGCGACGACGGCGATGACTGCGGTGACGGCGGTGGTTCACTGACGGTTGGACGGTCGTCGTCGGTGACCGTTATTTCGCTGGTTCCGCGATCAGTGGCCGTTTCGCTGGTTCCGCGGTCAATGGTCGTTTCGCTGGTTCCGCGGCCAGTGACCGTCTCTCTGCAGGTATCGCGGTCGGCGACCTCGTTTTTCGACCGACGGACGTCGGTGCACCGTTCGACGACCAAACGCCGTTCGCCGGCCACGTTAGCAGTGGACGAGGACGTCGCCGAACCGTCTGCAGCAGGTTTTCCACCCATCGTGACCGATACCGATTCGCCGGTCAGGCACCGTTCGCGCTGGCACGCTCCTGCCGACGTGAACACCAGTGACGTACCGCTGTCGGCGTCCGTGTCGGAAGTGCCCGTTACCGATGACCGGGCGTCGTCAGCCGACACGTAGTGAACGCTAAATCTGTGGCTCTCGGTGTGCGACACATAACCGCCGTCCAACGGGTGTCGGAGAACGCTCTCGCAGCTGAACACTATAGGGAAATTCGGTTCCTCGAAATTCGTGGACGTGGACACGGTCCTAGTGCTGGCTGCCGCGGTGGCCGCCATCGCGGACGCGGCCGCGGCGTCGACCGACTGTTGTTGGCCGAACGACACGTCGAGTGTTGTGTCGACCGTGTCGCTAGACCTGGGCGTCGATTGCGGTGCACCGCGATCCGCGGACGGCCGCAGCGGTGTGTCGTGAAACTTCGGCGAGTAGATCTTCGGAGCCGACCTGGCCCGGAAGTACGCGGCCGCCAATTTCCGGTCGCCACTCCCGTCGCCGCTGCTGCCCGTCGACTGCGGTCTGGTCAGTCTGGCCAGTCTGGTTTTTACATCGTCGGGCCTGTCCGCTTCCGGCCGCGCTTCTCTGGTCGGTATCCTGGGCAGTTTGACGGTCGCGCTGATCTTGCTGGCGGCCACGGGTCTTTCCGTCTCGGCCGTCCGGTCCGGCCGCAGTTTCGGCAACACGCCGCTGTCCTGACGTCGGCCACCGTCGTCCGTCGAAGTGGTCGCCGACGACGGTTGCGGCAACGATATCTTGCGCTTGTACACGTGCTTGAACTTTTGGCAACCTTTGAACGCCGCGAACGACAGGCGCCGCCGCTCGCAGTGTACCGCAACCGACCGGACCTTTGGCCTTTTCGACGGCTTTCTATACGCCCTCAGCACTGCCGCGGCTGCTGCTTCCGGATCGGCTGCCGACTCGTGTTGCGGGGTCGCGTTACCCGGCCTTTGCAAGTATTTGTCCAATCCCAATATGTCCGTTTGACACGATTTGTTCGATATCGGTTGTATGGGCGGGACGCCGTCGTCGCGTTGATGTCTGAGTGCGTGTCTTCTCATCGCCAGCTCCGGTGTCGAGTACCGGCGCGGAAAGAATCTCGGCGGGTCCAACGGAGTTTTCTGCAGACATGATTTTTTCGTCGACGATTGGCCGCTGAAAACGGTAAAAAAAAACAGTGCGATCAAACGGATATCGTGGTAAAATCGCGAGTATGGCTCGACTTGGGTTTGTACAATATGCGCGTGTCTTACCTTTCCAACGATATGCAGCGATGGTGCTTTTTCGGAAGAAAACCAGTCTTCGAGAAGACGTCCATGTTGTGCGTACCGAAATTGAAAAAAATCGAACCTGCAGAATATATAAAGAACTAACCTATACACGATCGATATCGCGGGAACGTGCGCGTGATTCCGTCATTGATTTTGAAAGTTCCACGGAAACAGATGGAACACGCGACAACGTTCTAACGCCGTCTTACGCTAGTGATTGAGTATAATGTTAAATTGGAACATCGTAAATAGTTACGCGCGCGTACGGAATATAATATATTTAAATATATATATGTATATAGTCTGTTGTTTCGACTCGCGTTATAAATATATTTTGTTTTTCCGTATCGTATTTGCGTTATTGTCTGCTCCGGGAGATTGTCCAGATGTGCGTAAAACAACAACGAAATGTATTTATAAAAGCGCTGGAAAGCCGCCTGGAGGAAGTGGCGCCTTGTGTAGATATAGACGCTGTAGGTACATATATATATATATATATATGTGTGTGTGTGTGTGTGTGTGTGTGTGACGAGTACGTATGTATAATGGTATTGTTCGTGTCAGCCGGCAACCGATAATAATAATAATAATGTAATTTACCGCGTCCGACGGTGTAAACTAATTATAATACGTATAATACATGAACAGATATAACTGTGTACGTAAAAAGTATTATTATGTCTTGCGTTTCAAAAGAATACAACTGGCGCGCGCGTGTAATAATCTAATGAGACTTGAAGAAACCATCCATTGATTGACCTATATTGACCTATACCCCTAGCTTACAACAATTTTAAACCGCAGCTAGTCGTGCTTCGGACATTTTATACATTTATTATGTACGTATTATTATGTTACAGTACCTATCTACATAAGTATCCTGCGCGAGGTCATCGAGCGGTGTCCTTATCTTTAAAAAATAAAAATAAAAAATGCATTCCTAAACAATGTTATTTGGAAAACGTCGTAATACACCGTAGGAAGTTGGAACGTGCGATAAGTTACAGTAATAATGTATCTAAGTGGCTAAGTGGCTAAGTATATTACACACTTCTTGTATAATATACTACAGACCCACGGTTGTTTTTGAATATGTCTAGCACGGAGATTTTAGAATCGAATAACGCCCGCGTGCCTTTGCTGCTTAACTGTTTGCGACCCAAATAATAAACAGAAAAAAAAAACAACTTTAATATTACACAACTGTGGCCCGTAACCAAGTGCACGGTGACGAGGTTAATGTACTCGCGTCACGAAATCAAAAGTCTGTAGCGGGTTCATCCATCAATCTTTTTCGTACATTATAATATGTATTTATTAATATTTATTCTCGAGACTTTTCCTTACGACCGACGACTAGGTATACAGTTTTAAATAATATGTATAGATACCTTTGATTCTACATAAATTTTTCATAGCTCTGCCAGTTCGTTAAATGTTAATAATAGTACCTACCTACTTATCAAATAATATTATTATATAGATATTACTAGGTAATCAGTGGCGCGACGTGTACCTATGTTCATAAAAAACAATATAATATATCCCGGCCAATTCTATCAACGCACGCCGGAAACACAATTACCTTTTTGCTAATAATGACGAGTTATGCCATTTCGTGTCCAGGCCTAAACGACAAAATAATTTATTATATCAATCGGAAAGGTTTCCGTGCCGTTCGACAGTAAAGGTATACCGTATACGATTTATATTTATATATATATATATATATAAAATACAATATAATATTATGACAGATATGCCGCACGAGGAATAGTCGCGAAAGAAGAAGAAAAAGACGTTACCTATAATATAATGATAATAGGTATTAGTGATGGGCAACGATATCGATAATTCGATACGATATCGATATCGTGACAAATTATCGACATCGATATTATTTTGTATTGTACGATATATCGTTATATCGAAAATAATATTTTTCAAGAAAAATACATGGTATTTACTATTTAGTATTTACTATTTGTAGGTTTTAAGCTATAATAAATAATAATAGGTGTCAGCTGATAACGTTTGGTGTACACTACGCGTGTTCCAGTGAAATGTCAATTATTGTACACTATTAATAATCCATTATAATGTTATCTAAAAAGGAAACAGGTTTTTTTTATATTGCCAACAATGTTATAACTTTTATTGAATATTATATTTAGCTGGCTTTTAAGAGGAATACGGTATAGTACCACACTACCACTGGATATTCCATAATTCACAGTGTAATTTGTGTCGTCGGTGTGATGTAAACGTCCGTTATTTTTCGAACATTTCTAACATTGTATAGTGATTACTGATTAATAATGAAATTATTACGAAAAGTTTTTTTTTTAATTGTTTAGGTAAACATAAAATTATATTTTCGATACGATATCGATATCGTACAAACAACGATATCGCGATAAAATATCGGAAAAATCTGAACGATATCGATACACAAAATTATATCGTTGCCCAACACTAATAGGTATACATTTATAGTAATATATATAAAACATAACTATATAGAACGTAACTCACCTAAATGACTCTAAACGTCAAACATAGAAAATAATGACGAGAATTGATGACAAACTATTTTGACATTTCGTGCTTCACATAACTCACAAATTCACAAAAATAATAAAAAAAAAAAATAAAAATATGCTCTCTAACCGGCGGTGGAACGACCAAACTATTAATACAATCGCAAAAATCGTCAACTGGCACGCGCGTAAAAACCGTTCCTAATATTCGCTCGGCTACGACGACGCGCGCCCGCCCGACGGAACGACTACTGTTACGGCGGTGACGATCGACCGCGACCGCGATCACGGTCGAAGTCCGACCGCGATCGTTCGTCAGACGTAGGTGTGTGTCATATATGACCGCGGTTAGTGGTATAATAATTATTTGAACAGAAACGTGTGATATTATTTATTATTTAGTATAATATGCGGTCTTTACGACGCCGGTCGTCGATGTCGTCCAGCGAGGTCAAAAGCGCAAAGCGTGTGCCCCCCACGTGGAAGAGGACGACGCCCGCGTAGTCGATCGATATATTGTAATTATGGTAATATTATAATATAATGATGTAATAAAACAAAAATTTACCCCGCCGACACGGTAACCCCCTCCCAATCAACACTACTCGGGTACTAATCAACGCACCCGCTATACGAAACGCGATTGTTGTTTGGAGTTACCTATATTATTTACGTTTTCGGTTTTTTTATTATTTTTTTTTTTTTTTTAAAGAAATTCGAATTTCGCGTATTCCGCAAAGTATCTACGCATGTACGCGGTGTGTGACGTATATCGTACGGTTGGTACGCTTACCTGCCGGCGAGACCGACTTGACGGTTTTTCCGGTTCTTTTCGCACCGTCGTCCCGGCGCTTGGCCGCTGCCGCCGCTGCAAACGACGATTCACCGTCGTCGCCCGTCCGGACGTTGTGCGCGCGGGTTTGCCGGTGCACGCCGTGGGCCAGCAGTCATCGGCGGCGGCGGCGGCGGCGGTGCACGCGCTTTTCGGTGCGTCTCACGCGTCACCACGGTGCAACGCCGCCGCAATGGGCGCGTAACGGCGTGCGTGTGTGCGTGTGCTCGCGTGCGGCTATGCGTGCACTCTGTACAGGGTGTCCAAAGTGCGCCCGGTCGGAGGTGCACACGCCACGGCGGTGAAGGAGAGGCGCTGAAATCTGACCGGCGTGCGTGTGGTCGACGAAAACGAGCTAGCAATAAGTCCAAATTAGAAAAAAATAAATAAATGATGAAAAAAAAAAACACCAGTAGCGTTCAGACACAGAACGCATTAGTCGTCGTCTCACGACTGCAGTGCCAGTCATACTCGAGGGTGGCCCATGTGGCATTACTCCTCCCCCCCCTACCTTCCAAAATGTTTACTTAAAATCTCCACTGCTGTAATATTATAATAATAAACAATAGGTGTGTACTGCACACTGCACTGCACTGCAGCTGCACGTGACGCGCTGTAAAGTATCTCCTGCAGCGCGGTTGTTCCGAAATGCAGTTTTTTTCAAGTTCAAATTCAAATGGACTGTGTATGAATTTGCTATAATACGCGTATTACATCGATCGCTCTTTCGTCGGTAGTTGTTTTTTTCTCGATAATTTACTCTTAAAAACGGTGTACATCAGACTTAATGAACACCTTGTATTTCGTGTATATTACACACGTTATAATATATAGTACCGTGTGTGAGTACGCGCGGATCCGTTAAAAATAGACGCGGAAACATTGCCGAGACGGCGATAAATCGAAGGCGACGTGTCGTAGATCATTTATCACGCTACCGCCGCCCCAGTCAGGGCGCGCGGATCCGGAGACGCGTTATGACAGCCGACGGTTTTATGGTTATGCATTTGGAAACCTATAAATAGTGTGAAAATTGCCCGTGAATTATATCCGATGACGTCTAGTTCAACTACTTCAAACTTTCATAAAAATCGATTTTGATAACCTCCGCATATACACTAACGTTTTTTAAGCAAACACGTTATATACTATCGCTGTACCGCAAGAACGCTTTTCGTATGAGAGGGGTAAGGGGGCTTCAAATTTAAAGAACATAATTTACTATACGATTATGAGCGTGTAATTTTTTTATATATGCAACTAGAGAATAGATATCTGAATTTCTGAAGCATTTTTCTATATTTATCTTAAAATTTATAATGGATTATGACTCCAATATCGGTTGCTATGGTAATTATTTTTAAAAACCATTTTTCAAATATATTTTGTATAATTTAGCGAGAGAACAATAGTTAATTAAAAGTGTATTTCTATAAGTTATACTTAGGTATAATATAAATATTATGTAATTTTTCAATTGAAACAAAACAAAACAATATTAAGTAATTAAACTCTTGCAGCCTTGCGTTAGGAAAATTAAGTTATATAAACTTGTCGTGTAATTTATGGCTAAATAGTTTTAAAAATATAATATTCTAAAATATGTTAGTATATTAAAAACATATTAACAAAATAGTTAAAGTAATTAATTCTTAATTGGCGCTTGTATAAAGTTTAATGAAATATATAAAACAATAATACAATTTGTAATCAGTAGTATTCAGGTGCATGGAATTTGTCAATAATTCAACATAATAAATTTTCTTAAAAAATTCAATAATATCTAATAATATTGTTTGTACATATTCTTATAATTTTCTTTAATGTATACTAATTTCAAATAAACACGTTAAAAAAATTTCTGATTTAAAAGTGTAAAAATTTTAATTTTATAGGAAAGGGAGCCAAATTAAACTTTCACCTCTCCAGGATAAAATCTAAAGAGTAAATTAATTTCTTTGCCATCCCTTTTCCGTTAACACTATTATAATATCTTGAGTCTAGGATATGCGTAACAAAATTATAATTATTAAAAAATTAAATATAATCTACGTCATAATTATATTTTAATTTAATACAATATTTGTTGGTAAGTGCAATTTATTTTAGAAATCACAAAGTTTAAAATGATGTTATAATAATTATAATAAGCCCATAGAAAATTATTAATTGAAATTAAACATTATTATGTTTTTAATTAGTTTATATTTTATATAAACTCTCAACAGTATTATATTAGTCATTTGATATAGGATACTAGGTATATAATATTAGTATGTTTTAAGTATTCATAGTGCTTGTGTGTGTGTATCATATATTAGATTTTTTGTAGTTTTTAAGTAAAATTAAATTACTCAATTAAAATAAATTTAATGTTGTAAATTAACATAATATTGTATACGTATACCTATTATGCATTCTATCGGATGACTCTACGGAAGAGTTGCGTATAGGTTTCGGTCCATGCTCGGAAGTCTTATGTAACAATTTTCATTATTTTGCTGGGCGTTCGTCCGCAAAAGACCAAATTTAATTTTAAACTTCTTTCGATATATAACATAATATTCTGAAAATGATTCACATCGTCAATGCAGTTAAGTACTTTTATAATAAATGTTTACCTGATTCGGTGCAAATACTATTTTTCAAATGATTCAATTCCTCTGTCAAAAGAATGCAATCACCTATAACATTATTGGTTGAACACAAACGCGCATTGCAGCAGAATCGATGTCAAACCGACATTTTTAAAACTTAAATCATAAATCACTTATCAATTACTATTATTTAATATAAAATCTAATTAACGAAAATTTATTCATTCTTAAATTTCAATACGTTCAATTCAGTGACATATTTAGGGGAAAAGGGTAGCAAGAGAATAATTAATATAAATTAATTTTAATGGATGTCATTTTAACAAAAATGTTCATTACAATATTTTAAGAAATTATCAATGATAAAATTATAATTCATAAATTATAAGTTATAACGTTTAACATACTTTTAATTTTCTTTATATAATATTTCATAATACTCTTATACAATATTAAATTTATGCGTTACACAATAATTATGTAGATTAAATTGTTTTAAACATAACATTAAATTAAATGAGAACCGGGCGAGGAGACGTGATGAAAATGTGTATTCAGAGCAGCAAAAATTTATTAATGATCATGGGTTTATTATATGACAATTATTGACGATGAAGTGAACTGTAAGCTAGCTACTACTGACAAGACAAACATCTCTATAATATTGATTATAATTTATAAATAATATAACAATTAATTAAAATATCACGTTTAGATAACCGTTTTTCCAGACTGCCAAAGACAATTAATCTTTAATACTAGGTGTCTAAGTATTAATTCATTGGGTCTATCAGTACAATATTGATTTTCTTCATTGTTTATTTAGTTGAATATTCCCGTTTCTCGAATTTTTCTCGCATTTTTGCCGCTCGGTGTCATAGATATTTCTACCGCGATGTAAGCCACACCGACGGTTCTATCAACTGGGTCACCTTAAGCAATTCACAAGTTTACAACGTAAAACGTAAGTTCTCGAAGAACTAAATACAAGGTATGGGTAATGTGTTTTTATTATTTTTATTTATTAAAATATTTTGTAGTAATAACTTATTAGTAGTTGTAAAATTGTGTTATTTTGTTTTTAAATTTGTATATCATTCAGACAAAAATTAGAACTTATATTATTTGTTTTTATAATATGGACTACGAGGGTAATAACTAATAAGTAATAACTAAAAAGTATAATAATTAATAACGTTCGTATATTCACTGAAACATTGATAGATAAGAAGTATAACTTTCTAATGTTTATTGAGCATATAAATCATTTAAGTTTGTTGATTATTTTTATGTTCTTGTGCATAATATATGATTATACGTAAACTGTTCACTCAATAATTTTATTTTGTTACTGTTAAAATAACTAAGTATTCTATTAACAGGTAAAAAAAGATACATTCATTTTTTACAGATACTTGGAAAATAATATAAGTATTATTTTTATTTAATGAGATTTTAATAACAAATAATTATGAATATATTCCAACTGCAGCTACTTTAAGACGAATTGCATGAACAAAATAAAAAAATAAAACACATAATGTAATAATCTAATAATAATAATAAATAATAGAGGAAAAAACAAAGAAAGAAATAAAACAAAATAAATAATAATGATAACAATCAACATTCAACAACAACTGGTGTTTACAAAAATCATGGTTAAAATAAAAACAGAAATAAACGATAAACGTATCTGTATAAAGCTCGTATTGTTAAATTTTAAACTCAATTTGTAAAAGTAAATTGAGAATGGCTTTTATTATGATGGATGATGATACTATTAGAGGAAAGATCATTGAAGTCAGAAAAGTCGTGATTAAGAGAAGAGAAGAGGAAATTTAGACGAATTCTATGTAGTATGTAATGAGAGAGATGGAAGCAAAGAAGATAATATGATTCTACATTTTTTTTATCTCTAATTATTAAGCATATATCCAAGTTCTATTCGTTGAGAACAATCTCGTATTAGTCATCTGAATCAAAAATTTATTTTAGATTTTATGAACGCGAGATTAGCGTAGCTTAAATTATATTAAATTAATATGTATAAGTTCTTAATAGTTTTTTTTTTTTTAAATTTAAAATAACTGGTGACATATTGTAATTTTCTGAACATACTTTCCTCTACGAAGCGTCTGACGATTTGCGACTTAAGAATTTTGATGTAATTTCACTCCCATTATTGGAATGTTATACGTAATCATTCATAAGACGTTGTATTTTACCTGAATTTTCGACTTACAAAACCTAATTCTTAATTTGATAATATGTCACACAAGTTTTCAGATTTTTGACGATGGATGTGTGA